AAACTCGGCCAAAATCGCTTAGGCGGCTGCAGAGCCAAAGAAGAAGAAGAAGAATCTAGTCCAAAATCGTTTTATGACGGTACATTTCATTTTTTGCGATAACAAAAATCTCTAATACCATAAGTATTATATTGGTATGAAAAAATGCCTGCTTCTGAAATGAGTATGATAATTCTTAGTACCATGCGCTACTTATAGTTTATTGGAACTTTATGTTTTCGTCATAATTCGGAATAAGGTTTCTATGACTCATAGTTTTTTGTTCTATTCGATAATATACTCGTTAAGTTTTTAAAAAAATATCGATATACATATACAAACTAATTTTAATAAATATGCAAAAATAGCCAAAATGTATGTGATGTTAGATTTACCCCACGTTGCATAGGTGAGGATTTTTTCACCTAGTACATTTATACACCTCCAAATTATAGTAGGTCCTACATATACATACATAGATACCATTACATAAATGCCCCTAAGCAGACACGCAGTGCACAAATGACAGAATAGTCCAGAGAACATAATTTTTATACATACCTACATACAATTGAATGTACGTAAGGCGGCACACTGTGTTGCGGCTAGTGGAAAAGTAACTTTTTTCCGATTATTTTTTTCAGTGTTTTTAATGATGCAATTTTGTCACAGACATTCCAAGTAAACAAAAAACACATAAAGCTTATTTTTATGTTGGCCCGTTGATTTTTAATTGATTTTAGAAGTCAAATATACAAAATTTTCACGAAAAGAGGGGATTTCAGGGCTGTATTCAAAATGATCTCATTTGATTTTGGTGACAGATATTTTGATTCGGAAAAAAAATCTGCCTTCGGACAAGTATCTTCTGTAAAAAAAAAGGAATCTTGTTTGAGACATTTTCATATGCACCTTTTTTAGAGCGAAAACCCGACTAAAGGTCCATTTTTCCTTTAAATTTGGGTTAGGTAAGCAATATCTAAAAAGTCCCAGAGAGTCCCAGTTCCAAACCACTACAGAACTGTTACATAATTTTTTTTCAACGAACTGTGAAAAAATCAGCTGCCCATACCTGCCCTCCTGGGAGTTATAGCGATTTTAGTATATCACTCTCAGTATTTATTCCATAGAAATAGAACGGAAATTCTCGGAATCACTTATTGAATAATTTAATCATATTGGTTTTCGGGTGACTTTCCGTTATCCCGCGTCAAATTTTTATTATTTTCAGACCGGTTTCGGCTAATCGCCATCTTCAGTGTTTTCTTTTTTTGTCACTAATTAGTCCGCATGTGTGTCTCTCTTTCGCTCTCTCTCTCTCCCCCTTTGTTTTTACGTCTAGGTAGGTGGGTGAAATAATCCGTTATTGCGCGCTTATTTGTATTGTTTTTATTTTGTGTTTTTTTTTTTTTATTCTACATCTATTCTAGCACTCCACAAAAATGAGCATAACTCTCTTAAAACTGAAGCTATTGACTTCAAACCGGTATCAAATTAAAGCTTTTATTGCCACCTTTCAAATAAGAAATGAAATAGATTTTGGTTTTATATAAAATTTCAGAGTTTTTCAACAAATATCGAAAAATCATAAAAATTTTACGTTTATAATTCTTGTTCGGACCACCCTATAGTTTATTTAAAAAACTAATCATAGGGTATTTATCAGAAATAAAAGAACAATTAAAATAAATTTTTTTTTGTGAATTTTTCGAACAATTATTTTTTTTTTTTGACTTTTGTTGAAAATTTGACCCAACAATTTTTTTCGGTGTAAATTTTTTTTTTTCACTCATTCTGTTTGGGATTTCATTCTGACCAATCTGTAGAAGTTTCTCATCGATACAATTAAAATTACAGTTTAGGCAATATGATTTCCAAAAAATTCCGGTTTCGCAACACTGTGCGGCAGCCGACCTAGTTTGGAACTCATGTAGTATCCTATGGAATCCTTTGCAGAGCACTTCCGCTTTGCAGTAAAGTGGCGTGCGATTGCAGACGACGGATTAGGCTTGGATTATTATGAGGTGGTGACCATTTGGACAAATTCATATAAGTAACGAATGAATTACGAGATCCGTAATATTGCCTCCTTACGTAGGAGGAGTTGCGAATAAATGTATAATATAGCTGTGTTGGAGCTATATATGTATGTATGTATATGATGCACTAGGATGTACTTATATGTATTACGCTGGGTAGCGAAACAAGTTTGAAATTGCCAATTTCAAGAGGATTTCGTCGCTGTACAAATTTCCGCCTTATACCTGCGACAGAAATGGCCAATATAGAGGTTTCCTTTATTTGTATTTGGGAGTTTTATTTATGTTTGAATACAGCTTTGGCGAAAATAATCTCTTTCGACCAATAAACAATTTTTTTTTCAGTTTCTATCTGACTTAATTAAAATTTGGAATGGAATTGTGTGCAAACAACACCTTTTTCCAAGCACTCAATCAGTATTGCCCATTGTAGTTAAAGCCAAGAGACAGGATTTAGAGGAAAATGATATGTATGTGGGGGAGGGAATTCATTGCTCCTCTGCAAACTTACCAGACTCCTTTATGAATTTTAGCAGTTTGTTGAGGGGAAGAGAATGTAACTCGTCCATTCTAAGTACATCCGATCCAAAAATGTTCTGTCTGAGTCTGGCGAAGGCCGGACATAAAAAAAGCAGAAGAAAAAGTTTCTATCAGGGATCGTAGATAACTCCTTCTTACTTAAAATTTAGTCACTATTAGTCAGATTACAAACTTGTTTAGGTCTGTTAGCTTTTTATGGTCCTAGAGAGTGAAAGAGCCCTCAAAATAACCTTTTTCAGACAGTTCATAAAATTAAAAATTATTAAGAAAACTGCGATTTCATTTTTTTTGTCGTGGGGCTTTATGATGGGAAAGTTTTCATGAAATAAGCTTTCAAAGTAATTACAAGCCTTTTTCTATTGTATGAGCACCGCCCGATCTAATGTGCATACATACATACATGCACGGGTCAATTTTCGTTTACAAAATATTTTGCTGTTGTTCCTAGTTGATGGCGTTAAAGCACTTTTCATTGTAGTGTGCAGCGGCATGTGTGTATGTGGGTAGTACAATTGTAAATGTTATGCCAACTTGAAAGCAGGAAATACATATTAATTGTCCGGCTCGGATGTGTGAAAATATGTGCATGTGTATGTATGTACATATGCACCAAGAACGATAGAATACAAGATTGCGCATTCCCGCAGAATGACGTTTGTGGCAACGGGTAAACAAAGAATATGGCGAAGAACAATGAGTTGACAGTTGTGAATTTGCAATGAGAAAACGTGTTTTCTTCACAATTCACCAATTTTTCAAGCCATCTTATAGCAAATTAAGCGCAACGTTAACAAAAATTATACAACCACTCTTGAAATGTGTTCAAAAGAATAGAAAGAATTTTGTGTTTGTATTGCAGGTGCCGGAAAAGTGATAATATCTTGTCGCAGCGCATGTTTTCCTACAGAAAGTGGTCGATGCCTGCTTACCTCCGATTTTAATTTGTAATTTGTGGTATTTCAACGTTTTCAACTTAACATGTCGTGTTTAAAAGTGGTGCTTTCAATTGTATGTGGGCTGGTGTTGCTGTTTGAGAACTGTGAAGCTGTGGAAGCTTTTGACAAATCTCCAAAGGACCAAAAGGAAAAATCAACTAAGTTGCCGCCTTGTAAATCATGCACTGTGCTTGTGGAATCATTTAATTTGGTGAGTGCGTGGCAGTAATAACAAATTTGTGTCGTATTAATATAAACTTTGCTTACAGGGTTTGGAAAAAATAAGTCGCGGCAGGCATGCCGGTGGTGATGCAGCTTAATTTCCATATTTTCCATAAATGAAGTGGTGCTTTATCATGCGCGGAATGCACTTAAAGGCATGGTACGTCCTCAGAGTTTAAAGATTTGTCAATTCCAAATCAACACGGGCTTCATACCGGAACAAGAAACATTGATAACATTTTCCTCGAATGATCTCGATGATTTACCGTATGCCGATCAGGTTCCTCATGACTTTTAGGTTTCGCTGTCGTTGAGTTTCACGGATAACGAATTTCCGCCGAGTAGGAATCCTCCTTGGTTACCAGCAAAGCCCATAAGAAACGCACAACATATATTTAGTTCGCAATTAGAATTCGAGGAAATGGTGGATAATTTCGGCAAGTCCCTATAGTATTTCCGCCCATTTCAATTATTTATTTATTTTCCTTACAACAGTGACAAAACCTAGTTCGATCAACAAACCTACGCCTGGTCAGCTGCTTCCGTAGATAACGCCTATTTTACCAGATGCTACCGAAATAAAGCAAGAGGATGTACCTCGAATCCAACCTCAACCATCACCACCAATAGACATGCTCAATTTAAACCAGCCCCAACCCCAGCCGGTGCAAGATCCACAAGCCACAACGAGTGACGCTAGTTTCGATTTGCTTGGAGCATTCGGGGATAATAATTCATCTGGCATTGGCTCGGCTCCAATACCTAATATTTTAGGTAAGGATTCGGTAGATTCAAAAAAGTCTTAGACTTTTAGGCGGCCATCCAAATTAATATTTGCTAAGTTCTGAATTGAGACCTACATTTCTATTTTAGAAATTAATGTACAACCAACTTCAAATGTCAACCTTGACGATATCTTCGGCTCAGTTGCTTCATCGGCGCCGAAAATCAACGTGGAGTTTAATAGTTTTTCTGTAAACCAGCCGACACCAACTAGTGCAAACCAACCTGGTGTATTGGTGTGTGTCGCGTCAGTCTCAGCAAAATAGTCTTGCATCAACAACCAGAGCTCAGTACGTCATAGTTATTTTTCTTCTCTGTTTTTGGAAGCTAGTGCAATGAGGTATAGTTTTAATAAACATTTATTCGATTTGAAATTTTTACTACTATAGTCTTTATTTTGCAGAATATTATATACATATATTTGCAGTATATTATATTTTCATTGATCCGCTTAGTTAAGTTTAACTATAACGAAGCAAAATGATGTGTAAAACCAAGTAATTGCTTTTAAATCTAAGTAAAAAAATATACAATTTAAATGACAATTATTAAAAAGATACATGCATACATATATACGTTAAGAACATAAATA